CCAGAAGAACAAAAAGGGCGAGCCTTTCAAGAGTCACTGATGAAATGGGTTTGAGATAAAGGATCCTTTGATCCTCCAGCTGATGTCCAGAATAGTGCAACCCAATTTCTTGTGAGAATCCTTTTTTGGGTGCTAACAAAACTCTTCTCCCTAAAGTCACCACAGGGATCCTAATGGTTAAAATCAATGGTCTAACTCATACAACTTAACAAAAGGAAGATAAACAACCCAATAAAAAAATGGGCAACGGACCTAGATAGATACTTTTCAGAAGAGGACATAAGGAAGGCCAAGAGACATATGAAAACATGCTCAAAGTCACTAATCATCTGAGAGATGCAAATCAAAACAACAATGCGGTACCATCTCACACCTGTCAGAATGGCTATCATCAAAAAATCAACAAATGACAAGTGCTGGAGAGGATGTGGAGAAAAAGGAACCGTCCTTCACTGCTGGTGGGAATGCAGACTGGAGCAGCCACTGTGGACAACAGTATGGAGTTTCCTCAAAAAACTAAAAATGGAACTTCCATTTGACCCAGTGATCCCACTTCTAGAAATATATCCCAAGAAACTAGAAACACCAATCAGAAAGGATATATGCACCCCTATGTTCATAGCAGCACAATTCACCATAGCTAAGATTTGGAAACAGGCTAAGTGCCCATTAGCAGATGAGTGGATTAGAAAACTGTGGTACATCTACACAATGGAATACTATGTTGCAGTAAAAAAGAAGGAATTCTTACCATTTGCAACAGCATGGATGGAACTGGAGAGCATTATGCTAAGCAAAACAAGCCAGTCAGAGAAAGATAAATTATCACATGATCTCACTCATTTGTGGAATATAATGAACAACATAAACTGATGAACAAAAACAGATCCAGAGACAGAGAAGCATCAATCAGACCGTCAAACCTCAGAGGGAAGGTAGGGGAGGGTGGGGGTAAGGGAGAGATCAACCAAAGGACTTGTATGTAGGAATATAAACCTAACCAATGGACACAGACAACAGGGCGGTGAGGGCATGAGTGGGGTGGCGGTGGAGCAATGGCGGGGGGGCGGGGATCAGGACACATATGTAAAACCTTAATCAATAAAGAAAAAAGAAATAAAATCAATGGTCTAGTTTGAGACTTCATAATATTTGCTTTCTTCAACAGTTGATATAGCTGAACCAACTTTTGTTTTGTAAAACATTTTCTCTCACTTCCATGTGTTTATTCTCTAAAGCATTTTCTCCTTCTTGGTTTATCATTACTTTGTAATTTTCTTAACAGAATTTCCCACCCTTGCTTCTTATAGGAAAAAAACCTCCACAATAAAACAAAACAAACAAACATAAAACCACATTAAAAAATACCCTAAAACATTAATGTCCTTCTGGATTGTGTTCTGTTTCTGGTCCTTTTCTCTTCTCCCTGAGATACCTCATTCATAGCCTTCGACCACACCCGAGCAAGCCATAATAATTTGCAATCTCCAGATCCACGTTTCTGACTACTGGATATCTTTGCCTGGATGCTCTGCAGGCATCTCAAAGTTAAAATGCCCAAAGCTTATCTCTCCCTCCACCTCCTCCAAAACCTACTCCTCCTTTTCTATTCCCTATCTCACAAAGTGGTACCACTATCCACCCAGGAACCTAGGCCAAAAACCTGGGTGTCATCGTGAACTCCTCCCTCTCCACACTAAATGGCCCAGTAAGTATTCTTAATTCTATATTTCTGCAACCCAATATCTCCTCTCTAGCACCCTAAGAGACTTTGCCTAAATTCTTATCAATATTTTTCAACAATAACATCTTAGCGAGTCTGCCCTACTACCAGGCTCTGCCATTTCTAATTCTTTCTTTAGAATAAATGACATCAGACTTGGGATTTCACTATTGAGGAAAGTTTTCAAAAAGGTTTTGAGAAATGACATACGAGGCCTTTAATTTTTTGGGGGGGGAGGTCAGGGCACAAAAGACCCATCATCTACTCTCACTGTCATTTCATCATAATAATTTTAAAGTACTGTTCAACTTCAAAAAACAGAAAATACCAAATTCTCAAAGCAGAAAAAAGTTCTTTAAATATACTTGGCTTTATAAATGAAACAATTTTCTGGAGGGGAACCACTGTTCTAGAATCTAGCTACCATTAGAGTCATCTTTCACAAAGCAAAAATGACTAATTTTCCCTAGCCTGAAAACCTGTTTGTATTATGTAAACATTTAAATTTATCCACATAATCTACATGCATATCATTTTACTGTCTTTTAATGGATACACAGTATGCATGGTATTGACATGCTATTGATATATCTGTTGTCTTCTATTTTAGGCATTTTCTTAAATATTAAAATTTAAATATCCTTTGTCACATATCACCTCAAAGCCTTACAATAAAAGCCATACTCTTTACAGTAACATAGAAGGCCACTTATAATTTGGTCATCATTTACTTATTCCTCAGCAAGAACTTCTCCTAAGCATAACACATTTTTTTCATGCCTCAACCAGAAGCAGTTCTCTGCCCCTTTCTCCAAGAGGATATTTGGCAATGTCTGTTATAGTTTGAATTGTGTCCCCTCCCAAATTCATGTGTGGAAGCCCTAAGCCCCCAATGTGACTGTATACACACACACACATACACACACACACACAGGTGTTGGCAAAAGTAGGTTTATAGCTGTGAGTATGTGAAAGAGTTAATAAAGCTATTGAAATAATCATAACCTGCTCACCCCTGTATATCATATAATTTATACATTTTAAAAGTTACATGTATAGAATTTTTAAACCATAAAGATATGAAAAAAATCCTTAGTATTTCCCTTAATGTCAAGCAATCACGCTTTCCCAATTTTTAAAAACATATTTCTTGTTAACCCATTGCCAAATGTCACATAATAAAAAGTGTGCCTTAAATTATTTAGACCATCATATAATCTACACAAACGAAAATTTATAAGAATATGACTTACTAACAATAATATTAGCTAACACATCACTATTGTGTCAGACATTGTACTATCATAAGTGCTTCTTCTCCATTTTGAAATTTAATTTCCATATCCTATGCTGTGGTACTATCATTATTCTAATTTTACAAATGAATAAACTAAAATTTGGAGAGATTGACTTGTCCAAAGCCATACCAATAGCAAAGATTTCAAAGAAAATAAGGCTAGGGGTAATTATGTTGTCCATTTTGGAATCAAAATTTTCTCAGCAAAAATACATTTTTGGACAAAATAATAAATATGTTTTATAATAATACATTAATTTTATAATAGGACAAGTATCTCTCTAAAAGGGAAAAAAACTTGTTTTTGTCAGATTATCTAGGTAGCCACCTGAGACGAAATGACTTCATGTAATTAGCTAGCAGTTACTGGTATTGAGATAGGTGCATTTATTACAGGTTTTCTTAGATTCTTATTTAGGTTTTCAACATTTCTTACTCTTCTACCTCATTCCATTTTCTCTTGCAGAGAAAACCAAATGATGAAAATAGGAATGTCATGTACTACTATTTTAAGTACAGTTAACTTAGTTACCTCAAACTCTTCAGTGTCCTGGAAAACAATCTTCCAGCAAATATCCATTATCAAGCTTTTAAGATATGTATTGTTTTTTACTACTACCTTAAAGTTTTGTTTTCTTGCCTCTTTTCAGGAAAGGGACAGAAGTACAGTATAATCCCTTTGCAGCAAAGAAACAATATTTTTATTACGGCAGTTTTGCATCTTATTTTTGTCACTGAACAAACTTTACTTTGACATTGATAATTCTGTAGATCAACTTATACCTTAAGCACCCCTGTGTCAAAATTCATCTATCAAATTTACTGGTTCTGTCCTCTGGGATCCTGTGTTTCCCGGGAAAACACAGGTAGTAACCATGACCCAAGTGTTCCCATAACTTAGAGAGGAACTGAGAAGATTCACAACAAAGCTTGTAGGCGTTTACAACAAAGCTTGTAGGCATTTTTTTTTTTTTTTTTTTTTTTTTTATGTAGCAGATTTTACTTATAAGGATGTTAAGAGCTTCTGGGAGTAGCTTTGCACTTCAACAAAGGTGAGCTTTGACTCCTCCTGAGGTTGACCAGCTACATCTTGCCCTCAATTTGAAGATCTTTTAGACCCTTTAAAAATTCATCAGCTTTGTGATAGACGAACTTGAAATAGAAAATAATAAATAAGGAAAGTATTAGCATCTTATTATTTCTTTTAAAATACATATATATTTTATTGATTTCAGAGAGGAAGGGAGAGGGAGAACATGATAGAAACATCCCGGGCATATGCCCTGACTGGGAATTGAACCCTGACCTCCTGGTTCATAGGTCGATGCTCAACCACACACCAGCTGGGCTATTTTACTATTTCTTTACATATTTGTTTCGTTGAATGCTAAACTTTCTTCAGGGTACAGATTTTTATCTTATTCATTCTTGCATCTTTCACCAACAAAAAATTACTTCTGGTCTACTGTCAATAAATATTGACTGAACAGATTTGAAATTTCAATTGGGAAGGCAGCATACAGAATTATTAAACTTTTGGTGCCTGATGACCTGGGTTTGGATTCTAATTGTATTAACTTGCTGTATGACCTGGTACAAACTACCAAAACTCTCTCATTTCCTCAACTCAGACGTGGATTAAATGAGATAATGAAGGCAGAGTACTTGGCACTTCACAAGTACCCATTTATACAATGGGTAACTACTAAGCTCCTACGACCCTCTAATTTAGAGGTAGGTATTGGCGATGAGTATAAAACACGCAGGATTCCTGTCTTCGTGGAGCTGGGGAGATAGACATAAAACAATCACACAAATGAACTAATTACACGTTGCCACGGAGAAAGGGGTTAGGAACTCAGTGCGAGGCTCCGAGGGCAGGGCCTGAGTTAGGTCGCTGAGGAAGGGCTCCCTGAGGGAGTGGCGTTTAAGCTGAAACTCGAAGGACCAGGAAATTCTCTATTTCCCCACGTGCCTCACCTCTCTTTAGTCTGGCTTCCATCTGTCCACCTAAACAGCTCTTGCTAAGGTCCCCAACGGCTTCCATCTGACATTTTTCTGTCCTTTTACTTGACCTTTTCGTAGCACTCAACGCAGTTGACCACTCCCTTCTAGAGACGCGGTCCTCCCTTGGCTTCTCTAGTAAGCGCCTCCTCATCTCTTTCTCCCTTTGCAGGTTCGTCTCCTTAGTGCCTGGACGGCCTGGCCGTGAGCCGTAATGGTGAATAATAGCGCAGTCCTTCTGAGTCATAAGGAGTGTGTACAAGTGAGCACATCTCCCAGCCCCTCTTCTCGCTTTCAGGGCGCTTTATAAAACCGCGAATATCAAACTTTTCGGCTCCAATAGAGACTCCCTTTTCTCTGGCGGACGGCGCCTGCCCACCGGCACAGGCATCCAATAGAACCCCAAGCCGGCAGATATGCTCCGGGAATGAATGCCTGAGGCGCGGGAGGAGGCGGGTGTCGGGCCCCGCTCCAGCCAACCGCAGCCAGGCCCGCCTCCGCCACGTTTCAGGCACCACCGCCGCCGCGCCGCGCCCCACCGGAGGTGAGCCCGCCCCGCTTCCGCGAGCGCCCCAGGCCTTCCAGTCCTCCACCGTCCCAGCATTCCCTGCGCCCCACCGTGCAGAGCGGCTTCCGGCGTCGGTGGTGGAGGTGGGTGAAGAAGGAGCGGGCTCTCGCCGCTCGCTCTCACTCCCTCGCGCTCTCTCGGGCAACATGGCGGCCGTGGAGGAGGCAGCGTCCTCCGGGAGCCTCCTGAATGGCGACCTGGATCCAGACGACAGGGAAGAGGGAACTGCCTCTACGGCGGAGGAGGCAGCCAAGAAAAAAAGACGAAAGAAGAAAAAGAGTAAAGGGGCTGCCACAGGTAAAGGGAGTTTTATGTTTTTCCCAGGGATGGCCGAACGACTCGGCTCAGGCCCGGCGTGGGTGTCAGGGACCGGGGACTCGGAACCCTGGAGTGGACTGATTCCCGGGACTGAGCGCGTGGCGAGGCCGGGCTACAGAGTCTCAGCCCTGGGCGGAGGCGGCTTCTCCTTCCGTGGGACTGGAGAGCTGGTGGAAGCGTGGGGAGGGAGAGCGGGGTCGGGTGGCTCAGCTTCCCTTGCGGAGCTCGCTCTGGGGTCGGTAGGCCGGGAGCCCCTGAGTTGCCAGAACTCGACTCCCACGCAGACTGTGCAGCGGACTTGAAGCCGTGCACCGCGCCCAGCCCTGCCTACCACCTTCCTCGCGGTTTGGCTTCCTGAAAAACCTGCTTCTGACCCGCGCTGCCCGCCGCCGCTTGGCTGGAGCATCCTGGTACTCACTTTGGCCGACAGTGCGGGTGAAGTGGACAAGTCCGAGCGCCTGGACCGCGCCTCACCCCGCCATCCCAGTTTACAGAGGGGTTTTTGATGCGGGCTTCACTTTTGGGGGTGTGTGTATGCCCACGCGCTCATGTCACTGAGTTGTAATTGCAGAATAGCGGGGGGCGAGGGTGTGTGTGTGTGTGAGCGCGCGCTAATTTTCACTCGTCTAATCCCACGGCATCATCAAGCGTTAGGGTTTTTAGGCCTGAATTATAATGGCATTGCAGGCAGTCTAGATAGAGGATACAGTGGGGCCTTGACTTACGAGTTTAATTCGTTAGGAGACCAAGCTCGTTAACTCAAATTACTCTGTCAACTCAATGCAAAAAATCGGCCGAGAGACAGCTGGTATCTCAAAAAACTCAGTTAGTCGGGACACTCGTAAGTCAAGGCCCCACTGTATTCTGTGGCTCAGAGTCGAACTTCTCCAAATCCACTAGTAAGGCAAGGAAAACAGCTAAAAACTTAACACTTGGGTTATATTAAGAGTTATTTTATTTTGAGAAGTCAGTGTGTTTTTGTTGCACTAGGTTCTTCATTTTAGGAAAAATTATTTGCACCTGTTTCGTTTTTAGGAAAAAAATATCTCAATCTGTGAAAGCCATAGAAAGAATGAAAGAAAAATGGAGAGGCCAGAAGTGATGAGCGTGGAGTTGAGAGAGGTTGGAGAGGGTTAATCTCTATCTGTCTGAAATTTTGATTAGATGGGAGTTGAAGAGGGAGAGTTGTAGGTGCTGAGACACTCCCAGAACACAAGTTAATCCCAGGACACAGGCCACTGGCTCTTCCTGGCTTTCAGATGAAGTCCAAGCTCTTCAGTTTGGTCTTTAAGGTGTGTTCAGCCGACTGACCCTAATACATTTTTAGCAGGACATTCTCAATATGAATGTTCTACAAAGGCCAAAATGTCACTTTATTATGTACTACCTCATATTACTATCTTTCTGCACACGCATATTCCTCCTCTAGCTAGATTATAATCACCTTCAGAGCAGGGGCCTGGTCTTATGCTTAGCTGTTCAAGAATTTTTTGTTTTAGTAATGGAATGTCTTTTTCTATTTATTTTGATTTTACCTAGCCCAGCTTGACAACTTTTTTTCTTCATGAATCCCTGAAGGCCCCCAGTGTCCCACAGAAATCCTCTTCTTCACTAAGGTCTTCAGCATTTATTGCCTATCTTAAGTACCTGTTTGGTTAGTAAAGTATTTGTTGTAGTTTAATTGTTAAATACTTTAAAAAGTTAAAACTACTTAAATATAGGGACCAACTCACACTTTTGCTTAACCTTTAGCTGCTATCACAGAGAATGTATTTTGTTGAATGGACAATACTACTTAGATTTGGGAGACTTTTCTTTGTCATTAAATAAATTCTGTTAATGTTCACAATAATGTTTGTTTTTGTTTCCTAAACACCTATCATATCAGGAAAGGACTTGTGTGTTCTTCAATATCTGTAGAACATATTCTAGTGTTAAGTATCTTTATTAGATTTGATTTATGCTATTATATTTGATTAGCAGGGCAACAGGAACCTGATAAAGAATCAGGAGCCTCAGTGGATGAGGTAGCAAGACAATTGGAAAGACAAGCATTGGAAGAGAAAGAAAGAGATGATGATGATGAAGGTAAATGATTAATTTGGTGTTTGTGGTTATAAAAGCAAGAAAATACGACGTTCTTTAATCATTTTTTTAATCCTCACCCAAGGACAGGGGTCCTCAAACTACAGCCCGCAGGCCACATGCAAATACAAATATTGTATTTGTTCACGTTTTGTTTTTTTACTTCAAAATAAGATATGTGCAGTGTGCATAGGAATTTGTTCATAGTTTTTTTTTTTTTTTAAACTATAGTCCGGCCCTCCAACGGTCTGAGGGACAGTGAACTGGCCCCCTGTTTAAAAAGTTTGAGGACCCCTGCCCAAGGACATGCTTTTATTGATTTGAGAGAGAGACAGACAGAGAAAAACATTAATGTGATGTCAAAGCGAAACATTGATTGGTTGCCTCCCACGCGTCTTCAATCAGGGCTCAAACTCCCATCCTGTGCCCTGACTGGAAATGGAATCTGCCACCTTTCGTTGTATGAGACTATGCTCTAACCCAGTAGTCGGCAAACCCCGGCTCGAGAGCCACATGCGGCTCTTTGGCCCTTTGAGTGTGGCTCTTCCACAAAATACCACGTGCAGGCGCACACGTACAGTGCGTTTGAAAATTCGTGGCCCATGCGCAGAAACAAGTATACAAGACGAGTGTGTATGGGAGAGTTGGAAGGGGTCGACCTCAGCGAACGTACCTCAATCAGATTGAGGACGTTTTTAGCAAAGGCCAGCTTAGGAGTACCCTAATTAAGTTAATAACAATGTACCTACCTATATAGTTTAAGTTTAAAAAATTTGGCTCTCAAAAGAAATTTCAATCATTGTACTGTTGATATTTGGCTCTGTTGACTAATGAGTTTGCCGACCACTGCTGTAACCAGTTGAGCCACACTGGCTAGGGCATGACGTTCTTTAAACAAAATCTACTTATTTGTCCATATAGTCTATTATTTTCTGACTTCGTAATTGACAATAAAATAAAACCTCAGTGTCACAGATACAAAGGGAAAGAAATTTATTAGCAACTCTTTAAAAAGTTGGATATGTGGAATGATTGCTCAAACAATACAGTTCTCAACTTTTAAAAATATACTTGGGCCCTAGCTGATTTGGTTCAGTGGCTAGAGCCTCAGCCTGTGGACTAAAGGGTCCCGGGTTCAGTTTCAGCCAAGGGCACATGCCCAGGTTGTGGGCTGGATCCCTAGTAGGGGGCATGCAGGAGGCAGCCAATTGATTTTTTATTTTATATATATATATATATTTATTTTAATGTATTTGGTAAAAGGCCAAGTAGTGGGTATTAATAGGATAAAATTGAAGGGTTGTTTATTTAACTTTTATTTAACTAACATTTATTGAACAACTAATATCTACTATCCTAGGATACTTTCACATGCATTCGTATTTTACCCATGCAAATAAAGTAGTTGCTCTTCTCAGGAAATTATAGTTATATGATTTTCCCAATGTGATACAGCTAGTATGTGTAGAATAGAACCAGAATTTCAAACCTAGCACTTGACTCCAAGTCTATTCCTTTCACTCTCTGTACCAAAGCTACTTTTTTTTAATTCTCAAAGGAGCATATTGGAGTGCTTCTGAACTCTATTATAAATTCCCTGATCCTAGTTCCTTGTGGTATTTTGGTGCTGTTAGATTTGTGTAAACATGGCAAGTCTTAGAATTATAGGAATTGATGCTATCGGTAAGACAGTGGAGGGAGTCATTAATTAAAAGAACTATTCTATAGCATCTTTTGGCAGAGGGGGAGATAGGGCTTTCCCATTCTCAATTATTTACTGTTTTGACCTATTGCTATACCTCAAGCACTGCCAGCTTGAGTTTTTGCCTTTCAATCCTTAAAACACATACCTGCTATATTTTATTGTGTTAGGGTAATGCAGAGCAGTTGTTTTTTCCTCTAGAAAGGTATGTTCTGCCTTCAAAAAGCTTACAGTCAAAATTTGGTTTAAAAAGTGCCAAGATTACAGGGAATAGTTGGCTTTTTGACTTCTTTGAGCAAACCTCTTGTTCATTCTACCTTTCCTAATGCTTCAGATTAAGAACATATTTTGAGCTCTTAAGAAAGGGTTTTTTGTTTTGTTTTTTAATATATTTTTATTGATTTCACAGAGTAAGGGAGAGGGAGAGAGAGAGAAACATCAATGATGAGAGAGAATCCTTGATTGGCTGCCTCCTACACGCCCCCCGGATCAAGCCCACTGCCTGGGCATGTGCCCTTGACTGGAATCGCATCCGGGACCCCTCAGTCCGCAGGCTGACGCTCCAGCCACTGAGCCAAACCAGCTAGGGCAAGAAAGGGTTTTATAAATTCAAAGTAATATAACAAGTTGCTGTAGACCTTTTATATGTAGAATATCACAGTACTGATCTTGAGTGTGCCTAGTTCCATTGCACCTCTACAAAGTTGTGTGACTCTTGGCATTGAAGGGGAAACTTTTGCTTGTCAGATTGGAAATCTTCAATGTATTAAAGAAGATTTTAGTTTTCTCCAATTTTATCTAATTGTTTTTCTAATTCATTTCAATAATCAGTATCAACCAGTAGTACTAATCTGGTGTGAGAAGTCTTTGAGTGGATGGAAAGCTA